TCCCAGAGGGACATCACATCCAGGTGAGCTTCAGACTGTCTGCTCCCTTCGTGTGCTAGGTGGGGCTCATGGCATATCCTGTGTAATGCTGGGCCCCCTCCTGCTCCCTCTTGCTTACCCTGGGTCACAGCACTGCTGGGGGCCTGGGCACCCACAGACCCTGCTGCAGCCTCACTGATTGTCCTCAGGTACAGGATGGTCAGATCACCCACATCCAGTACGAGCAGGGTGGCCAGTTCCTCCCGGAGTCACAGGTAAGGAGCCAGGCATAGTGGCAGGAGCTGGAGGGTGGGTCTGAGCCTGCAGTTGGAGAGGGATATGTGAAATAGAGGGAGCTCATGGGCTGGTGCCTGAGTGCAGCAACCATGGCTGGAGGGGCTCCAAGAGGAACCTTTCCCTCAGGGATTCCCTATTTTCTCCTCTGTAGATCCAGTACATGCCCGTGTCACCTGAGCAGCAGCTCGTCACCCAGGCACAGCTGGAAGCAGCAGCACACTCAGCTGTCTCAGGTAGTAGCAGGGCCCTTTGTCGGAAGGGGCAGTCCTCCCAGGGTTTGAGGGTGCCAGTCCTGTTGCTGGAGTTGGCAGCAAGTCCTGCAGCAGCCCTTGGTGGGAGGGCTGGGAATATCGGGTTTGATCATTGTTTTGCTGCTAGCCATGGTGTCAAAGGGCAGATATTTGCTGGTCCCAGCCTGTCAGTTCTGGAACGGGGTTAGCTGGAGCTTGGCTCCGTGCTGGAGCCTCACATGGGCAGGGTCGCCTTACGTCCCTTCCCTGGGGACAGGCGAGGAATAGGGAGGGGAGCCCTAAGTAGCCACCAGCTCCCCCTGCCCTCAGTCAGGGGCAGCACTGACCCACCTCCCCTGCAGCAGTGGCGGATGCGGCGATGGCCCAGGCACAGGGTGTTTTCACCACCGAGGCAGCAGCGGAGCAGATGCAGCAGCTGCAGCCGGGGATCCACTACGATGTCATCACGCTGTCGGACTAGCACCGAGCAGGGCCGTACCGTGCCGGGCAGGCGGCCGCACCGGCAGCAGCCGCCCCAGCCAGCAGTTGCCTTATTGTGCCAGGGCTGCGAAGGACACCCCTGAGCCACGGTGCCACAGACACAGCCAGGGACACGCTGCCGCTCGGCCCTGTGGCATGGGAGTCCTGCACCTCCCCCCAGAGACTGCTCAGCAGCCACGGGGGCAGCCCTCGTGTGGACGGTCTCTGCCTGTTGCACTTGATGGTCTGAAATCCCTTATCCTGAACGGTCTGCATGGGCAGCCATGGATCAGTGCCTGCCCAGAACATGAGGATCCTGGGGAAGCCGTAGGGCTGGGCACAACTGTGTGCTGCAGTGCCAGAGGCGAGGTGTGTGCAGCCACAGCCACTGCTCCCCACAGCCATGGGGCCAGTGGTCCTAGTGTGCCAGCAGCCAGCCCTCCTGTGGTATCTCCAGCCTGCGGGCAGGCAGCAGCAGGGCTCTGGACTGGAGGAACCCAAGGAGAAGGAGGCAGAATATGCTCTTTCTTCTGAAGAGGGATGGACTCTCATGTTAGTCCATTGGTGATTGTTGGAGGGGTCTGGCTGTGACATTCTCAAGCTTTGACTATGCTTATGAATAAAAAGGGATGGAGATCCGTGTGTGTGTGTGCCTGGGGGTGCAGGGGACGGGGATGTGACAGCCCAGTGGCTGCGGGGCTGAGGCACACAGGTCTGGGAGCCGAGCGCCGGGCTGGGCCACTCACTGCTGGCAGATGCCCTGGGCTATCAACTGCCTCCCGCCCGAGTGACCTTGACTCCTGGGAAGTGAGCCGGGCAGCTGGGACAGCGGTGGGCTTGGGGCTGGAGTCATGAAATTAATCGAGTGGTAAACAGCCTAAATCCCGTGTAACTCTGTCCCGAGCCACACAGCACCCTCCTGAGCGGCTTGTCTGGGCCTATTTACATGCGATTATAACAGCTAATCGCAGAGTTTTAGTTCTCTGCTCCTGCATTAAACTGATTATCCATCGAGGGGAAAAAGGCCGGGAACCACCGTGGCTCGGTGAGAGCCTCTGTGAAGCCTGAGCCCCGCGGGGGTGGGGTGATCTCTTCTGGTCTCTCCCTGCCCTCCTGCAGGGTACGGCGATGGCACCGGGGCCGCTGTGGCAGCGGGGAGGTGAGGTGTGGGTGGCTCCACACCTCCCCTGAGGTGGCTGCGGCTGATGAGTGGTTCCCAGCTGTGGTTCTGTCCCGCTGCCCTCACACCAGCCTTGCCTGTGCCGGTGCGTGGCTGTGCCTGCCCGGCTGTGGCTCGGTCGGTGTCCAGCTGTGTCTGCCCGCTGTGCCTGTGGCTGGCTCTGGCCCTCCCTCTCCAGCTGTGCTGTGCAGGGTCAGGGTGCTGCGCGCAATCCACAGGCGCTTTCCTAGATTACAGCCCCATTATCTAATCAAGCAGATCCACGGCACTGATTAGGGCTGGACGAGTCCCGTGGGGACAAGGTTATGGGGCCACTGCAGGGCCATGGCCGGGGCTGGTCCCAGGCAGCAGCACCAGTGTCCTTGCTGGCTTGAGGCTTGCATGCCTGTGGCTGCCCAGAGCACAAGGTCAGCCCACTGTGGGATGGATGGGAGCAGAGCTCGGGGTGCTGCATGTTGGGAGCTCCAGGTGTTGCTTGGGCTGTGGCCATGGGATTGTGCGGAGGCTTGGGACCTCTGGGTGCTGGCACTTCAGCCCTGGGACCTTCTGCTGTCACCAGGGCCTGCAGGGATCCAGGGATGTGGCCGGGCTCATTAGCACCGGTGACCTTCGCCTTCCTGTCCTGGCCAGCGCTAAGCGGGTTTGTTACATATTTAATATCCTGAGAGCGTTATTAGTCGGTATTTAATGACGGATACAACCTGTGGGATAATCCCAGTCTTAGTGGGGAGGCGTGGTGGCAGGAGCAGGTGGCTCAGGGGGTCGTGGGCTCTCGAGGCCCCTCACACAGCTGCCCACCAGTGCCCTGCTGTGCCAACCACCGGAACCCCCCAGTGCCTTGCAGGGGTCCCCACTGTCCGTGGGGCTGTGGGGCACTTCCCCTTCACCACTCTGCTGCAGGGAATCCAGTGGTAGACATGGCAATGCTGGGGCTTGGATGAGGACTTGGCCAAGCTGGAGCAGGACGGGGCAGCATAGGTTGCTGTCCTCCCACCATGCCATAATTCTTCCACCATCCCCTGGCCCTCCAACCCACCCTTCCACAGCGTAGGGGGCTCTGCCACCCACAGCCCCAAATCAGGGCTGGGGTCATGGATGGGACACAGCTCAGCACTGCAGTAAAGCCCCAACTGGGCTGTGTGCTTGTGACTGTGAGTGTCCGGGGGGCTCACGGTGGGCCCCGTGCACCAGCCCTGGGTGCCACTGTACCCCGTTCCCGGGAGTTGTGTAGGCTGTGCAGAGTTGGGGGCCTGGGAGGGAGCAGGGCTCTGGCTGGTGGCAGGCAGGCGGGGAGGTCCCTGCAAGTCCCTGCCCAACAGTAGCAGGGAAAGGGGGGGTATCAGGTGCCCCAGATCCTGCTGCTGCTCTCGTGGGTGCTAATACCACCTAATCAGCTGTCAGTCACTGCAGACCCCAGCAGCTATAAAACACTCAGGAGCAGCTCCCCAGCTCCTCTCCTGCAGTATGGCAGCACCTCGGGGCGAGAGGAGCACAGGCCAAGAGCTGGGGGGCTGCGGGGGGCCTTGGGGGAACCTGCGGGGGCCACCCCAAGCCCTACTGCCCTTCCCCTACCCCTACTCCTGCCCCTGTCCCGTTTTGGCCGGGTACAGCCTCCTGCCATCCCCTCTCAGCCTCGTCACACCCCTGGTAAGTGCCGCGCTGCAGCTCCGGGGGAGGAGGGATGTGGGGCTTTCCCAGGACCGGGATGGGACTGTGTTGGGTGGTTGGAATCGGGGCTGGGGACCTGCTGTCCCGAGGTTCCTACCCCTCCCTGGCATTCCCCTGCCCCCACACACACACCCTCCTGCACTTGGCACTTTGGGTTCACATGGAGAGGAAAACGATGGGCAGGATACAGCTCGGCCCTCTCCCACACACAAAGGGCCGAGCCCTGACATCCACAGCTCCTTCTCCTCTGGCCATCATGCCCCCCTGTCCCACCCTGACACCCCTCTGCCCCCCCAGGTCTCAGCACCCTATGAAGTGCCGCTGGGGCTGCCCGCAGAGCCGGGGCGGGTGAAGGCAGCGGCAACGCGAGAGAGCACCGGGGCACTGAAGGCTTGGCTGGCACGACACCCCAGGAACCCCTATCCCAGCAAGGGGGAGAAGGTGATGCTGGCTGTGGTCAGCCGGATGAGCCTCACCCAGGTCTCCACCTGGTTCGCCAATGCCCGCCGACGCCTCAAGAAGGAGAACAAGGCGAGCTGGGCCACACGCAGCGCCTCAGACAGCGAGGACAGCGAGGGCGAGGGGGTCCCATCGGGTGCCGTCCCCATTCCCAGTTCCAGCCCCGTGCAGGATGGGTGTGAGGGCAACCCCAAGATGAGGACAGGTCCTGGGCAGGGCAAGCAGCCCCAGAAACCCAAGATTTGGAGTGTGGCAGAGATGCTGGAATCTCCCTCCAGCAAGAACAGGTGTTCCCCGGGGGTGCCAGTGGTGCTGGAGCAGGTATAGGGCTGGGACAGGCATCTCCTGTCCCCAAGGGCATGGCAGGAGAGACACCCATGGGACCCAGCAGCTGCCTGGCCAAGGAGAGTGGGAGATGTGGGTGGGGAGGGACACAACACAGTAATAAATATGATTCTGTCTTGGGTCTCCTGGAGTTGTCTGTGTGCTGTGGGGATGCTGGCAGGGATGCAGGGGTGCCAGTGCTGCAGTGAGCAGCCCCTGTGGAGCAGGGCAGGTCTAAGGCAGAGATCAAAAATAGACTTTGCTCTTCTTGATAAGGGTAATAAAATGGTTAGCAGTATTAAATTAATCCTTACAAAACAAAACCCAAGGAGGTTAAATAGAGACTGAAGGTTCTGCAAAAAAAACCCACAATGACTAGAGAATAGCTGCGAAGACATCTTTACACAAAGAAACTCCTCCACTCCTCCCCTCTCTGGGACACAGAGTCAGCAAACACGAGACACGCATGAGAAAGGAACACAGATGTGATGGGAGCAGCCCCACGAGGAGCGTGGGCGCCACAGACAGAACTATTTACACTATGGACACGGAGCCATGCTGGGGCCAGTCCGGCCGCAGGAGCCCCCGGGCTCTGCCCGTCCCTCTCCTGCCGGGGCCCCTCCGGCCGCGGCGCTCAGCGCCCAGCACTCGCGCTTCCTCAGTTGGTGTCAGTGTCCTGGCTCCTGCTCTTTGCTGTGGAGGAGGAGGACAAGGAGCTGAGGGTCTGGCCCAAATGCTTGTAGGCTGCAACGAGCTCCTGCAGCCACTCCAGCCAGTGTGAGCACCCACATGGAAAATACAGTGCTGTTCTGCATGGGAAGGCACCAGGCACTGAGCTTCTCCCCATGGTCCAGGCAGAGCATGCTGTGGGTCAGAGGACACGAATACCTCAAGGGACAATGCCCCAAAGGAACCCAAATCCTGCCTGGCTCAGGCACAGGGGTCGGCTGTGCAGGGTCAGGAGTGGGGGAACCCAAAGACCTCCAGGCACAGGCACTGGCAGAGGCTGTAGACAATGCAGAGAAGGAGGGTGGAGGGCACAAGGCTGACCAGGATGATGCCCAGGCTGTGGTGCTCGATGAGCAGGAGGTAGATGCCGAAGGGCAGGGAGCTGAAGTAGAGGAGGCAGAGGACGCCCAGAATGAAGCGGGGGATGGCTTGCCACCCCCAGGAGCGCCACTTCTGCCCAGGGCCGTGGCAGGGCAGTGCACCCAGGCTGGTGGGGCGGTACAGCCGCACCACCTCCAGCCTGCCCAGGCTCTCTGGTGGAGCTACATCCTCTGGCACCTCCAGGATGGTGACAACCAGGCAGTCGGGGCTGGATGTGGGTTCCAGCACACTGGGACAAAGGAGTACCTCAGGAGATCGGGGTGGACCCCGTTTCTTGGCCCGTTCACGGCCTGTCAGCAGTGCCAGTGCCTCACCGTCATCCTGCAGCTGCTGCACGTCCCCGCCCGGCACCGGGCTGTGCTGGCGGCAGAAGGGGCAACGGAGCTGAGGGGTTGAAGTGTCCCCCGGGGGAACAATCCTGCGCAGGCAGCGGGCACAGAGGCGATGGCCACAGCGGAGCAGCTTGGGCCTGCGGGCACGGGCATCGAAGCGGCTGTAGCAGATCTGGCACTCCAGCTCGGGGGACGAGGGTGCCACCGGCAGGGTGGCGGTTTGGCTCTCTGGCTGGGCCATGTTCCTGGTGGGCTGCTGAGGGCTGCCTGGGCTGCGGGGAGGGGGCACAGCTGTCAGCCAGGGCTCAGGGCAGGCCCCGGACCCGCTGCCTCCCACGCCTGGGGTCCCGGCTCTGCTGCATCCCATGGTCATTGTCCCGGTCAGACCCCGCGGCTCGGTGGGAGAGCGGGGCAGTGAGAACGGAACGGTGGCGACAGCCCCCTCCCCGGCCCCGACTCCAACCCCCGCCTGGTGCCACCGGCGCTGGGACTCGCCGTCATCCCGGCCCCTGCTTTGCTGGGGAAAAAATTGCTCCCAGAGGCCGGCACCAGCGGAAGGGCAGCTCCCGGACGCATCTTTGGCCCTCACGGTGCGTGCGGGTTCCCCGGGGCCGGGACGGTACCGAACACCGGTTCCGCAGGCGGCGGGGACCCCGCTCCCCGCTCCCGAGCCGAGCAGCTCTCGGTCCGTACTCCCCGCCCCCGCTCCCGGCCCGCACCGCAGCCTCTCCCGTACCTGCGGCTCCCG